CACGTCCTCGCCATCACCGCTGACGGCGCCGTCTGGAGCTGGGGCAATGGAACCTATGGCAAGCTGGGCCACGGCGACCAGCAGAACCAGCTGCTGCCGAAGAAGGTCGAGGACTTTGCAGGTCGTTGCGTCGTCGCCGTGTCGGCGGGAGAGGACCACAGCCTCGCCCTCGCCGCCGACGGCGCCGTCTGGAGCTGGGGCCAGGGAGCCTGGGGCAAGCTGGGCCACGGCGACGAGCAGAACCAGCTGCTGCCGAAGAAGGTGGAGGCCTTTGCTGATCAGCTTGTCGTCGCCGTGTCGGCTGGAGCCATCCACAGCACCGCCCTTACCGCCGACGGCGCGGTCTGGAGCTGGGGCGGTGGAGCCGATGGCCGGCTGGGCCACGGCGACGAGCAAAACCAGCTGCTGCCGAAGAAGATCGAGGCCTTGGCGGCTGATCCGCGCGTCGTCGCTGTGTCGGCGGGCGAGCAGCACAGCCTCGCCATCACCGCCGGCGCTATCTGGAGCTGGGGCTTTGGAGGCGCGGGGCGGTTGGGCCACGGCGACGAGCAGGACCAGCTGCTGCCCAAGAAGGTCGAGGCCTTTGCTGGCCAGCGCGTCGTCGCTGTGTCGGCTGGATACGACCACAGCATCGCCGCCACCGCTGACGGCGCCGTCTTTGCCTGGGGCGAGGGCGACGATGGCAGCTTAGGCCACGGGGAGGACGTGTCGCACCAGCTGCTGCCCAAGAAGATCGAGGTGTGGTCGCGGGATTGAGAGGTCGCGGGGTATCGTGTGGACGCCTTGCAGTTGCACCTGATGCATGATCATGCATGTGCCGTGGGGCCCTCTTGTCCGTGTGAGAGTTCGTCGGGTGTACGGTCTATGGTATAGCCAAAAAGCTCTCACCAACCGCATGGTCATCCATGTGTGCGGGACGCCGACACGAGAACCGCGACTCGAAACGAAGCACGACGCGCGCGCGGTGCGCCGGTGGGACCCTCCTGTCGCACTCCTCTTGCGTGCGGCGGGGGCGGCGGGTGTGCGGGATGTCCGGGGGCCCGAGAGTGATGCGTGTCATGTGTGCTGTGGGTTTTGGATTTGTTGGGGTATGGTACAATCGCGGATGACTCATCGGGCGTCTGCCACCACGGCCTTGTCCATCCACGCGAGCACCTCTGCGGCGAGGCGCGGCGGCGGCACGTCGTGGCCGCCCCCGTGCCAGAGAGTGGCCGAGGCGGGGTGCGTGAAGCAGGCGGCGACGGCCTCGCCCAGCTCGGGCGGGTTGATCGAGTCCACCTACGGGAGCGCCGCCGGGTGCAGCGAGGGAGGAGCCGGGGCGATGCGCAGACGGGACGAGGCGAGGAGGAGCAGAGTCACGCTACAGCCGAGGTGCGGCCGAGGTGCGGCCGAGGTGCAGCCGAGGTGCAACCGAGGTGCAACAGCAGGGAGATGCAGCCGAGAGAACAGCCGAGAGTTGCAGCCGAGACTTGCAGTCGAGGCGCCGCAGCCGAGATGGCGTGGCGGGCCCGCGCCTCGGACAGGCAGTGCAGCGTCGGAAGCGCGGCCGCCGCCTCTGGCGCCGCCCGCAGCCGCTCCAGAAGGGGCTCGTAGGGCTTTGGCACGGCGGCGGCGCAGATGACCGCGAAGCGCAGCAATGGGCAGCTCTCGCGGAGCGAGGCCCTCGCCGCGACGATTGCCGCCAGCATTGCGCCCTGTGAGAAGCCGAGCAGGCCAACGTAGCCGCCCGACTCGAGCTCGGCCTCGACCGCAGCGATGCTCTGCTCCGCGCCCTCGTAAGAGGAGGCCGTGAAGGATCGCTCGCCCGCCGGGTACGTCCACCACGTTCGCCGCCCCGACGGCGCGTCGATCGCATGAAATGACCTGGCCGTTCCCTCTTGCAGATGCGCGAGCCGAGCGAGGAACGCGTCGCCGCTGCCGCCGCTGCCGTGAAGGCACAGGATGCGGTGTCCCGAGGACGCGGACATGATAGCGGAGAGGAGGAAAAGGCGCAGCGGTGCGGCCAGAGGGCCGATGGGCATCAGCTGTGCGTGTGCACTGCACACTGCTATTCCGACAGAGAGCGGTCCGGGCGGGGGGGGAACCCCGCCGGGGTGGGGGCAGGAAGACCGGGCGGAGGGGTTCTGTAGAAGGGTGACGCCGTCGCCACGTGGGAGTGTGTGTCGTCGCGTGTCCATGTCTGGTGTTTACTAGCTCCGAGTAGAGGGGGCGTTCTGCTGCTAGGGAGGGGAAACCCGGAGCGCGGTACTAACCCACGGAGACCCGTGTTTATTTAACGGCCCTTTCCCTGCGGCCGCGCACCCCCCAGGGCTAGGGCTCTCTTGCCCGCAACCCGATCCCGATCATCCGGCCCGCTGGGACCTGGGTGCGCTTCTTAGCTCCCAGGCCCTGGATGTCAGTGAGGCTGATGACTGCACTCCAAGTGCTCCAAAATGGTTATAACGCAGCGTCTCCCGCAAGGCATTGCTCGTTTCGCTTCCTAGCGCACTCTGCCACAAGGAATGTGATTGGATGCGCACTGGCACGTGCGACGGTGCTTCATTCACCAGACTCCAGAGCGCTGCGCAGCGAGGAAGGCTTACCGCAGGAAAGAAGAAATCCAGCGCCGGCCGCATCATCCCCATTGCTTTTGCTCCCGCGCCAGTCCCGGTGCCCCTAGTGTCGTGCGAGAGAGTTGTTTGTCATAAATTTCACTTCTACTTCCGCCATGATGCGGTTGATGATCGGCTGAGGGAGGGGACGGGCCTGCTCCGCAGTGGACGCCTGCCACGGCCACGCCACTCAGAAGGCGGGCAACGGCGTGCAGCGGAGGCGGCGTGCAGGGCGACCGCGCTTGAGTGAGGTGGAGGTGTGGGTTGACGGGGAGTGCCGGGCGGGTGGGCGTCGTAAGGGTGAGGGCGATTGCCGCCCCCCCCACTTCGCCCACCTCGACGCCTTCGTGTAGGCGCCCCCGCGAGCGCGACTGTGCCTCTTTTTGTACTGTGGCGTACCTGTGTCGAACCTGTGTGCTGTGAGAGAAATTTATAGTTCAATTCTTCTCCCCTTTTCCTGTGATAGTGCTAGCACGCGCCAGTCCGCACCTGTGTCGAGCCTGTCTGCTGTGAGAGAGAGTTGGGTTGAGAGCGAGAGATAAATTCTTCTCCGCCGATAACGATTGGGGTGGGGGCCCCAACTCGTGGTAGGCCACTAGTTTGTCGTAGGGTACTCACGGATACCTCTCCTGAGTCCCTTCCTCTAGTGTGCCCTCGCGCACATCGCATGCGGTCTTCACTCAGCCAGTCAGCCTGCACTGCTGTGAATACTAAACTTGCTGGCGCGCGCTTTCGCCTTCCTTCCAGGAGCGGCGCCATCAGCCCCTTCGAGCCCGCCGACCTTCGCCAGGGCAACCTGGGCTCGCTGCGCGCCCTCCGGGCGGACGCGCGGCCCAGCGCTCACGGCCGAGCTCGACGCGCGCCTCGAGGCCAAGAACCAGAACACGCTGCTGACCTACGCCGCTTGGTACGGGCAGGCCGACGCCGTGCGGCTGCTACTCGAGAGCGGCGCGAGCGTGTGGGCGACGACCGGCGACGGCTGCTCCGCACTGAACATGGCGTGCCAGAGGGGCCAGCTCGAGTGCGCGCGGCTGCTCCTCGGCGCAAGCGCGGCGGTCGACCAAGCCAACGTCAACGGCGCCACGCCCCTGCACATCGCGTGCCAGAAGGGTCAGCTCGAGTGCATCCAACTGCTTCTCGAGGCTGGTGCGGCGATCAACCAAGCCAAGAACGACAGCGTCACGCCGCTGTACGTCGCATGCCAGAAGGGCCAGCTTGAGTGCGTGCGGCTGCTCCTCGCTGCCAATGCGGCGGTCAACCAAGTCAAGGGCGGCGGCTTCACGCCGCTGTTCATGGCGTGCCAGAAGGGCCACCTCGACATCGCCCGGCTGCTCCTCGAGGCTAGCGCTGCGGTCGACCAAGCCACGGGCCGCGGCTGGACGCCCCTGCACATCGCGTGCCAGGGGGGCCACTCCGCCGTCGTGCTCTGCCTGCTGCGGGCGGGCGCAGACACGGCGGCGCGCACCTCGGGTGGGCATACGGCGCTGCAGCTGGCCAAGGAGAAGGGCCACACCGAGTGCGAGCGCGCCTTTGAGGCGGCGGCGAGGGAGGCGAAGAGAGCGGAGATTGAGGCGAAGGTGGCGAGGGCAGTGGCCGAGAGGGCGGCGGCTGAGAGGGTGGAGGCCGAGAGGGCGGCCGAGGAGGCTGCGGCGGCGCTGCTGGCGGAGGAGGAGTCGGAGAAGTGCGCCGAGGAGAAGAAGAAGGGCAAGAAGAAGGGCAAGAAGAAGGGCGGCGGGGGCGGCGCTGGGCCGTCGCAAGAGGCCGAGGCGCCGGCAGAGGAGGCAGCAGAGGAGGTAGTGGCGGCGGAGGAGGAGGCGGAGCTTGCGGCGGCGGAGGAGGCGGAGCTTGCGGCGGCGCTCGCGGAGAGGCGCGCGCGCGATAAGCTCAAGGAGGCGCGGAGGAGGGACAGCCAGCGGCTGCGCAAGGCGCATGGCGCGGCGATGGGCGCGCTCAAGTCGCTCGACACAGCGGACAGCCCCTCTGCGCTCCGAGCGGGCATCGCCGCCGCCAGGCCGCACGTGGGAGTGCTGCCTGCCTTGGCCGAGGAGGTGAGCGCGGCGGAGTCGCGGCTGGAAGAGCTGTCTGTCACCGAGCCGGCCGCGGCGGAGGCGGTTGTTGCTCGGCCCGTCGAGATAGCCCTGTCGGACCTTGCCGCGGCTACCGACGGGTTTGCAGAGGGCAAGCTGATTGGCAGCGGCGGCTTCAGCCGCGTCTACGAGGCGTCGGCCGACCTCCACCTCTCCCTCGCGGCGCCTCCGCAGCTGCGCCACTTGCCGCTCGTCGTCAAGCGGGCAAAGTCGGGCCAGTCGGGCGGCTTGTCTCGGGCGGAGCTCGAGGTGAAGCTTCTCAAGGCGGTGAGCCACCCGCACCTGCTGCCGCTGCTCGGCTACTGCCTCTCGCCCGACGGCGTCTGCCTCCTCTCGCCGCTGATGCGCGGCGGCTCGCTCGAGGCGCGGCTGCGTATCTCGGATCCCGACTGCGCGGCGCAGCTCCGGCGGCTGGGCATGGCGGAGCCGCCGAGGCCGCTGACGTGGCGGCAGCGCGTGCGTGTCGCGTGCGAGGCGACCGAGGCGCTCGTCTACCTCCACTCGAAGGGCATCGTGCACCGCGACGTCAAGCCGGACAACATCCTGCTCGACGAGAAGCTGACCGCCGTGCTCGCTGACACGGGCTTCGCCAAGGACCAGCGCCCGGACGCGTCTGTCCGCTGCCGCTCGACTGCCGCCCTTTACATGACCACGGGCTACCTCTGCCCCTCCATCTCCAAGGGGGGCGAGTACTCGAGCAAGACGGACGGCTACGCCGTTGGCATCACCCTCCTCGTTTGCCTCACCAACCGGTCCGAGGTGCAGCTGACCGACCGGTGCGAGGACGAGTTCGAGGAGGACTGGACCGACATCGACGTGACGAGGATCGCAGACGCGGCGGCGGGGTGGCCTGACCCTGCGGCGCGCGCTGTCAAGGACCTCGCCAAGGCGGACGGGAAGAGCCTCTGCCACGACAGCTTGCGCAAGCGACCCACGCTGCCCGAGGCTCTCACGACTTTGCAGGCGCTCCTCTCTGGCTCGCAGCGCAGGGCGGGGATGGAGGAGGCTGCGCCGGCGCTTGGAGACGAGGCCGCCACCGCTGCCCGCACCACCGGCTACGAGCCTTCGCCGCTCTCGGTGCAGGTGCGCGGCATGCGCACGTCCGGCGACGCGCAGGCGCGCATCCAGGACAACATGATGCTCGCCTTCAAGACGCTGATGCCGCGCCTCGACGCCGTGTACGCCTCGCGCTCCGCGGCGGCGCCCGACGGCTTCGAGGAGCGCATCAACTTTTGGCACCGCGAGTGCGGCCTGCCGACAGAGCTGCGGAGCCAGCTGCACTCGCTGCGCATCTGGGCGAACGCGGCGAGGCACCACGACGCGGCGAGGTGGAGGAGGGACGGGCCGCGCAGCGAGGGGGAGGCGTCGCGGCTCGTGGCCGCGGTGACGGAGGCGATTGGGGCGCTCGAGGGATTAAATACGTTCGGTTGACTCTCTGTAAAATGGTTAAGCGGCGTCTCCCGCAAGGCCGGCTCGCAATGCTCCTTTTGCTTCCTAGCGCACTCTGGCAAGGAATGTGATTGGATGCGCCACAGTTTAGAGCGACACAGCGAGGAATTGATTGATTGGTGTGGGCGGTGCTTACCGCTTGCTAGGTTACTTCGGTGCCTTCCCCCATTGCGGTGGAGGATTGGCCCGTCGCCTTGTTGGACCACCCCATTGGTGCGGTGGAGAATGTGGGTGTGGTCGGCGACTAGAGGTAGAGCCTCACACCAAGATCGTGCAGGGCGGGGACACATGTCCCTAAATCCCATCTCGTCTCAGAGTTTGACCGTTTTTATTTATTTATTTAGAGGTAGAGCCGCAGCCGGGGTCGTCCTCCCTAGGGGGGTCCCGTCCCGATGGGGGACTAGCACTAGCCGTCTTCCACGTTGTCCCTTGGGTCCCTGCTGCTCCTAATCTCTTCGTACATCCTCCAGCTGATCTCCGCCCTGCTCCCTCCCTCGTCTGTCGTCTCGCCCTGCGCGTCTGCTCCGGCCTCCGCCTCCCCGTCGCCTGCCCTGCGTCTCGTCTGGCGACTGGTCCTCCATAGTCGGTTGAGGTCGCCGCCCTCCTCGTGCCTCTTCCCAACGTCTGCAGCTCCGCTCCTCGAGTGAGATAGTGTACGCTGCCCGCGGGCTCCTAGGCGGGCTCGTGACCGGCGTGCGTGGAGACAGGAGAGGTCCCGGCACAGCCACAGGCCACAGCCACATAGGACGGCGCGGCCGCACATGCTATGCCCGGATGCGTCAGAGTGGAGAGTCCGCATAGTCGAGTCACCGAGTGCCGCACCTCTCTGCACTCTGGCACACTAGAGCTGGCGTCCTGGTCCCGTGTCGGGGTTTCACGTAACAAGTACACACTAGATCTAGAATCTACTAAGTACATCTGATACGGGGTGTGGACCGTGAGTTGACCAGGGGTTGTGCGCCGGGCCCTCCTGCTCGGCTCCCCAGGCCCAGCGAGTAGACAAGTGTTACCGTCAACTACAGAGGAGAAGGATCTGACCTCGGGGCCGATGTGACCAAGCGCTGGTAGCGTGGGTTTACCTCACACCCACGGTCTCACAGTGTGCCGGCAGTCGCCGAGCAGTGTCGCTCACACAAGCCGCAGCACAACTCACGGAGGACGGTGTCCACACCCTTTTTACCTGGTCTACTTTCGCCGTCTGGTCTCCGACCTCGACCCCGGCGCCGTCGACGGTCCCTCGGAGGTCGGCACCGACAACAAGGGCGCGCGCGACGTCGCCTACAATCCCGAACACCACGGTCGCATGAAGCACGTCGAGCGGCGTCACTTCTTCGTGCGCGACATGGTGGAGAAGTTCGAGATTCGCGTCCCTTGGATCGAGGGCGAAGGCAATGTGAGCGACTTCCTTACGAAGCCGCTCGCGAGCTCGACGCGGTTCTTCAAACTTCGCGACGAGATTATGAATGTGCGCGGCCAGACCGCCCACGTCGTGTGCGGTGCCCGCTTTGCGTGAGCGATCCCGCGCCCGCGAGGTCCAATCTCGCATTGTGTCATTCACGTTTCGGGCAGCCGGGTTGCCGCTTTCGACCTCCCCTGGTCTCAATCGGGGGGGGGCGTCGCTGCCCGGGGGTTGATCTCCCACTCTTGTGTGTCATTACCCATTCACACTCTCGTGTGTCTTTACTCGATCCCAATTATTGGGAATTGGGTTCGTATATTCATTCAACGACGTAGTCTACAAAGGGTGTGCGATCGCTCCTGCGTGCACTGCCCGGACTCGTCGCCTGGGACGGCGGCTGTGGACCCGCCTCCCAACAACGGCCGCGCCTCGCGGGGCAAGCGGCGCGGCCACCCGCGGGGCAGGCGGTGCGGCGAACATGCCACCACCAACTCGCGAAGCAGCGCCAAGCGCGTCCATCGACGCCCGACCGATCACCGCCGAAAACGCCACGGGGCGGCCGGTCCTCGTCGCAAGCGCCCTCTGGCCGCAATACGCATGCAAGGAGTTCGGTGGAGCCGGCTGGGCAGCGACCGTGTTGCGATGCTCCAAGCACACCGCAATCGTACGGTTCACGATTGCCACGATGCGCGATGGCCGACCATACGAGGACGCGCGCGTCCCGCTCAACCAACTGCAGCCGCTGCCTTCGCAACAACTGACCGCATAAGGCGCGCTGCAGGGGGTGGAACCCATCATACCGGTAATCACCAACAGGGTGGAACCCATTATAATCACCGCAGGGTGGAACCCATCATAATCACCGCAGGGTGGAACCCATCATAATCACCGCAGGGTGGAACCCATCATAATCACCGCAGGGTGGAACCCATCATAATCACCGCAGGGTGGAACCCATCATAATCACCGCAGGGTGGAACCCATCATAATCACCGCAGGGTGGAACCCATCATAATCACCGCAGGGTGGAACCCATCATAATCACCGCAGGGTGGAACCCATCATAATCACCGCAGGGTGGAACCCATCATAATCACCGCAGGGTGGAACCCATCCATCATAATCACCGCAGGGTGGAACCCATCATAATCACACCGCAGGGTGGAACCCATCATAATCACACCGCAGGGTGGAACCCATCATAATCACCGCAGGGTGGAACCCATCATAATCACCGCGTGCTACCCGGCTTGCGAGTAGGGAGGAGGAGGCTGCGCTGCGCAAGCACGGGCGGGAGGGGCTTCTCCTGCGGAGTCGTGCGTGCGCAGGGCTCCTCTTTGCTTTCTTGTACTCCCTACTATCATCTCGTTCCCGTCCTACCAGAGAAGGTTACTTCCCCCAGGATTGGTCTTCTCTGCCTGCGGGAACACCCTCGGGCGGCCGGGTGGGCTGGGGGGTGGGGCTGCGGCTGGAGCTAGCTTGGCTCGATAGAGCCGAGACCCTGTGTTGAGGCGGCGCTCCTGTGGGCGGCTGTGGAATCGGCAGATTCGACCTCAGGTCTCCAGTACTCTCATCCCAGTGGATGGACGTCCGGACGTCCCTTTGTGTTCCTCACGCTTCCCGTCCGCCAGCGAGACGCCCAGTCGCTCGTGGCGGCCGCAGTTTTCTGTGACCCACCCACCTCTCTCCCTTGTGTTTTGTCTGGGGGGAGGGGCTTCTCCTGCGGAGTCGTGCGTGCGCAGGGCTCCTCTTTGCTTTCTTCTACTCCCTACTATCATCTCGTTCCCGTCCTACCAGAGAACTCCCCCCCCAGGCCCAGCCCCACACACCACACACGCACGCACACCGGGGCCTCACGCGTCACGGCTCGGACGACGGCCTCCACACACGCGTTTTGAAGAAATGCAGAGGTGTTAGCTTTCCACTCTTCCATTCCTCCTCTCTGCGTACGCACGCACCTCCGCCGCGCCGAGCACGTCCTGCAGCAGCAGGCGGGCGGCGGCGGCGTGGCCCCAGTGCTGACGGCGGGCGCTGTGCCGGCCCGGCCCGAGGGCGAGCCGGGTGGTCCACGTCTCGTCCCACAGCAGGAGGCGCAGCCCGGGCGGCGCCGCCTCTCTCAGCCTCTCCGCCGCCGCCTCGACAAGCTCGCACTCTCGCGAGCGGCGGCCGTCGGCGAGGTACGGCATGCCGAGCACGACCCCTCCGGCGTCGAGCTCCGCCGCCAGCGAGCAGATCGCCGCGGCCTGCGTCGCGAAGCGGGACGGGCCGCTGCTCTCCCGCCGCTCGCGCGAGATCACCCACGCGTCGGCGCCGGGCGGCTGCGGCGGCGCGCCCGGAGGCTGCCACCTCCGCCTCCGCTCCAGGACGCCGACGCGCTGGACGCCGAGGAGTGGTGAGGTGCGCGCGGCCAGCCCGCAGTAGCGCGCGCCCATGTCCACGGCCAGCACCCGCTCCACGCCGATGAAGCGGGAGAGAGCGCTGCTGCTACAAGAGGCCATATATGTGTGTATGTGTGTGTGTGTAGTGTGTTGTGTGCTCTGCGCCGAGCCATTTCTTTTTCTGCCATGGAGCCAGGAGCGCCAGTCCCGTGCCCAGTGTCGTGCGAGGGAGCTGCGTTGTGAAATTCTGAAGTTGGCGCAAAACCACTTTATTAAAAGAAAACACCCTTGCAACACAAAGAAAAATTTTCCGCTGTGAAGAGAGTGAGAGATATGAGATGACTCATAGCTCTCTCTCTCTCTCTCATAGGAGACAGGTATGACGCACCCACACATCCACGACATACGCGCTGAAGACGCGAGGGCCGTGCCCGTGGGGCGTGCGTAGCTGCGAGTGGGCGGGCTTGAGCCGCGGGAGCGATTTCTTGTGTGGGGACCTCCGCCATCGGCAGTCGCTACGTCCTCCGATTAACCCCCCCCCCCCCCCCTCCCCCGCCCCGCCCCGCCCCTCGAGGCGACGAATCTTCGTCTCCTCTCGATCGACGCGCTAGCCCATCGCGTCACGGCTCGCCGGCACCGGCGAGGCGGCGCGACTGTCTGGCGGCGTCGGCAGCGCTGCCCGAATGGCCTGCGCCTGCTCCGCCGTCGTGGCGGCGAGCGCCGCCGCCTTCCTCACGCCTTCGTGCGCCCGGAGGGGCGGCGGGGAGGGGGGAGGCCCTCCTGCAGGGGACCAGTCCGCCGGCGAAGGACTAGCGCGAGCCGCGAGCCGTGACGCCAACGACGAGACACCGGCGGCGGCGGAGCGGCGGGAGACGACGGCGGCGACTGCCGGCAGCGGGTCCTCCGGCTCCTCCAGCAGAAGGTCGATGCTGAGGCGCGGCGTCATCGCCGCGACCTGCGGCTGATCGGGGCTGAGCTCGGCTGCTCTCGGCGAATCTCGGCGAATCTGACTCGGCTTCTCTCGGCTACTCTCGGCTACGCTCGGCGTTCCTACTTGATCTACCGGCTACGCTCGGCTTCTCTCGGCTTCTCTCGGCTACGCTCGGCTTCTCTCGGCTCCTCTCGGCTTCTCTCGGCCTCTCTCGGCCTCTCTCGGCCTCTCTCGGCTTCTCTCGGCTTCTCTCGGCTGTCTCTCGGCGCCTCTGCGCTGGTGAGCTCGTCGAAGAGCCTCTGCCCGCGGCTGACCTCGGCCAGCGCCTTCTCTGCCGAGGAGAGGCTGTGCCTCCGTGCGCGCTCGAGCAAGCCTGCGACGGGCGAGCCCTCCGCCACTCGCCCCGCCTCCTCCAGCGCTCGCTCCGCGGCCACCCCGGCACGGTCTTTTTCGATGCCAACGATGGAATTCACCCGCCTCTGGCTCGCGTCGCCGTCCAGCTCCAGCCACGGCCCGTCCACGCTGCCGTCGGGCCGGATCCGCACCGAGGACGGGCGCGGGCTGGCCGGCGACGCAGGCCGCGGGCTCGCCTTAAAGGGTGAATCACGGGTGAACCAGGGGTGAAGTGGCTGGCCGGCGACGCATGCCACGGGCTCGCCGGCGGTCGGGGGGAGGAGGAGGAGGAGTTGCGTGTCCCGACGGCTGCCGCGGAGGACTGAGACGACGTCGTGGGATCACCTGACGTGTGGCGGTACTCTCGAGGTTCCCACTTATCTCCATTGTGATTTCTCATCCCTACCAGGTCGTTTTTTTTT